AAAAAAAAAAAAAAAAGGAAAAGGAAAAGAAAAATGTGAATGATCAATGCACTGAAAAGAGATCAGTTCAATATATGAAAATGTCTTCAACTCCATTAATAACAGAGACAAGTAAACTACAATAAGTCATGTTATATACCCAGTAGATTATCAGAGGAGTAAAAATAGAACAGTAATAAGTATTCACAAGAATGCTGTTGGTAGGATTATAATTTGGGGTAATTACTTTAGAAAAAAATTTGACATTATCTTGTAAAGTTGAACACAATCCAGCAACTTAACTCTTAGGTATATATTCTAGAAAAAACAGGAAACATAGACCAGAATACTCATAGAGGCATAGCTTATAATAGCAAAAATAATGGGTATAACCAAAATGTGCAGTAACAGAAGATTAGATGTAATATATTGACACATTGATTTTAAAAGAAATGAACCAAAGCCATAGGCAACAATAGGAATAAAATGTTAAAAACGTAACCTTGAGTGGGAAAAAAGCAGGCCACAGAAGGTTACATAGAGTATGATATTTTATAAAGCTCATAAACAAGGAAAATTGAACAATATATTGTCTAAGGATACCTACAAAAATGGGATTTATTGTTAATACAGACACAAGCAAGGGAAGGATAAATATCAACTTCAGAACAGTTTACCTGGTTGGGATAGAGAAGGGGAGACCCAGAAAAAAAGAAAAGCATCCTTGAGGAATACAGATCATTTCTACAGCAATGGTAATACTAATATTCTATTTAAGTTTCATAGTGGACTCAAGGGTGTTCATTTTATAATTATGCATCAAATCTCACATATATATTGCATGCATTTTTTTGTATTTGATGTTACATAATAAAAATTTGAGGAAAATGTTTCCAAATTCTAAAATCAAATAGGTTGGTCTTACACCTTCATTTCTTGCATTTAAAGCATCAATACTTATGGGGTTTATTTTCATGTATCATAGAAAAGTGATTCTTTATGTTTTTTAAATTAATATATTAGTTTTTTATTGCCTCATAACATATGTGGCAATAAAAACAAACTTCGCAGCCTAAAACAATATCCGTTTATAAGCCCATAACTTTGTAGGTCAGAAACCCAACCGCAGCGTGACTGAGCTCTCTGCTAACCATCTCACAGAGCTGACATCAATGTGTTGGCTGAGCTGCCTTTCTTTCTGGAGGCTATGGCGAAGAATCCATTTCCAACTTCATTGAGGTTTTTGGCAGAACTCAGGGCCATGTGGTTGTAGAACCAAGCTTCACATGTACTGGCGGGTTGTCAGCTAGGGGCCACTTTTGCCTCCTGGAGGCTTCAAAGGAGAATCTCCTTTTGGAATCCTGTCCACACTTCAGATCTGCTTCCAGAAAGAGCTTAGTCCCTTGTAAGGCTTATCTGATTAGGTCAGGTCCACCTTAGTAATCTCCCTAGTTTTAAGGTCAACTGATTTGGGACTTAATTACATCTGCAAAATCCCTTCACAGCAGCAGCTAGATTCATCTTTGACTGAATTATTGGAAGAATGTTTGCCCACACCAGGAACCACAAATCTTGAGAGTCATCTTAAAATTCTGCCTACTACATTTGCCTAATGATCAAGCTTGTTTTATTTAATAATTTCTCCCATTGCCACTTTTTTTTAATGTCACTACCATCATACTGTATATGAGTATATATAGTAAGATCCCATTTCTAGGCCATTAGTACTTTTGTATTGATCAGCTTATCTAATTCTTACAGCATTTTCATGTAATAATTTTAACTATAATATTTATTATATATTTTATTATCTGATATGGCAAGTTTTCCCCAATTCCTTATCCTTTTCTGCGTTTTCAGCTTCTTTGATATTTTATGTTCCCTTCAGTTTAAAAAAATAATAACTAATAAATAATCTTTTGAAATGTTTATTCAAACTATGTATTGTATGGATTTCTGACAAGAAATTTGACAAAAGTGAAAATTTGATTGCAACTAAATTTGGAAACAATTGACATTTGTATTAAACTGAATTCTTTCTGTTGCTGGTGAAAGAAATCCAAGAAAAACTAACTTAATCTTTGTAAATTATATCAACCATTATCTGGCATACAGTCAAAGTATCTGTTTAATTAATAAGTAAGCTATTTTTTCGGTCTCAACTGAAATAATTTCTCATCAGAGAATCTTTTCCTGACATCTTAAGCTGTAGCTCTCCCATCACTTTTCATTCCATTTTCCCTTTCATTTTCATCACAGCCCTTACCTCTACCTAATATTTTCCCATTTTTTATTTGTTTTTAGTCTGTCACCACCCATTAGAACTTAAGCTCTATGAACAAAAGAAGACTTGTCCTGTATGTGTTAGACATTTAATAAATGTGGAAAAAATAAAAACAAAGATGTGAGAATTCACTGGAAGGATGCTGAAGTAGTTCACAAAATGAAAATAAATAAATTAACAAAGTAAGGAGTAGAGTAGCTCTGGAGTGCTCAAGGACTGGCCCCAGGAACTTGGTACCTCCAAACGTTGCTGACTTTGTCTTATAACTGCTTATCTCTCTGGGCTTCATTCTCTGCTACCACAGATTTACTTTCTCCAAAACAGTAGAAAACATAGCTGCCAGGCGTCTAAGATTCACATTCCTTCAGTTCCAAGACCTGAAAACTAGTGGAATGTCTCTGCTAGCTTCCAGTTTTTTTAATCCTGAGAAAGTTTCTGAATGTTTCAGTTTGGTCTGAGCACTCACCTTTTGGTCCAGTTACTCCTGAAAGAGAAATAAAGTATTGCATTTGGCCCAAGATTGGTTATGCACTCACCTCTGCATCCCTAACAAATTTGTATCTACTGGAGCCATCCCATCCATGAACATGATGCATCTCTATTTACTTGAGTTTTCTGTTTATTATGTCTCAACAAAGTTTTTAGTTTTCTATATATTATACTTTCTTTTTAACATTACTCTTAAGTCTACTTGTATTACTATTGTATATTTCATTTTTCCTTTTCTCAGTAATTATTGCTAGCAATAAGGAACATGTACTGAATACTTTCTATATTTTTTCTTGGTTGCCTTTCTAAACTCTCTTATTTAGAATTCCATAATAAAATTTATCCTGCTTTCAAAATTACAGAATAATAAATCTGTACCTTCTGCAGTGATTTTGTAAGACTTTGAATAATTATTCTACCTACTTACAGTCGTCTATAAATTGTTTGCACATTAACACTGTCAAAATTTCACAAACTGTAAAGTGAAATATAAATGAAAGTGACTTTTTAAAGCAAACATTCAAAAACTGATACTTTAAGTAAGTGACCATCTCCCCAAAGTTGTCACCTTGCAAGTCACAGTAAACACTTAGGGGATATATGTCCAGTTCCTGCTCCCTTTACTAAAGACTTCTCCCAAACCCATACCACTTCACCCAAAGTATTGACCTTTGTATTAGGTCAACTCTTTTGCTCAACCATAGTCAATCAGACCAGAGTTGACACTGAGGCAAAGTATACTACTGAACTCTCTCTACCTGGAATTTGTCATTGAGAACCTGAGACAACTAACACACATCAGTTATTGGTAGGTGCTGAGTTTCTGTACTGAGGTCTGGGACTCCATTTTTTGGTCAGCTGTCTCCTCCCCATCATACCCCCTTCCCATATGCATCAAAAAATAGAAAAATTAAACAGGGAGGGGAAACATGTCTACACCAATCCATTCTGGGCTGTATATCAAGTTCCTTGAGATACATCAGTGCACCTATTATAAACAGATACTCAATAAATATTGGTTGAATGAGTGAATAAAGAGTGAATAAATATCATCTTTTCTTCCTACTCTGCTCCATTCCCACCAAAAAAATTCCATTTTCATGAACTTGACCTTGCTAACACTCTTACTACCCACACTTTGCCATCATCATCTACTTCCAGTCTCTGGGCCACGGTTAGTTTGGCCTATTTGTGCTCTAAGTAAAGACACTACGCCCAGGGAACATGGAGAATGGAAATCCAGCATGTTTTTTGCTCTCTTGCTGTGAGCCCTGGCATGTGTCCACACAAAGGGAGCATCTCTCCTAATTTACACAGACTCCATGCAAGTTAACAGAGGCCCTTTCTGGACTGGACTTGTTTCTGTTCTTGAGTTTATCCTTTATACTTTGTTATGTGTTGAATTTTGTACGTTTCTGCCACGTTGGAGTAGGGCGTGCCTCATACTAGAGTAGGACCCTGCTCTAATATGACTGGTGTCTTTATAAGAAGAATACAATGTGAAGACAGAGACACGCAGGAGGAATGTCTTATAATAAACAAAGCAGTTACTGGAGTTACACAACTGCAAGCCAAGGATCTGCAGAGATTCTCGGCAAACCACCAGAAGCTAGGAAGAGGCAAGGTACAGGTTTCAGATGGAGAATGGCCTGATCAAAGCCTTCATTTCTGAGTGCTAGTCTCTAGAACTGTAGAATAATATGTTATTTTAAACCACCCAGTTTGTGGTTCTGTGTTACGGCAGCCCTAGAAACTAATACACATGCCTGATACTGTCTTTATTTGTCAGGTGAGACAGAAAAAACAGAAAGAAAAAAACCAAATACCCTGCCCACCACCAACTTAGCAATTACCTTTTCCCCTGCTTCATCCTTTTTTCTCCTCTAGTTGAATAAAAGACTGCTACTCCAAGGAAGAAACTACAGTGAATTTAAGGTGGTTCTCTCTACACAACCAGTGAGAGTTGATTGGCACCTGAGCTTGCACAAAAAGCATATTGTGGAATCATTTTTTAAGCTGAAAAATTTGACTATGCAGATTCTGTTGCTGCCCACTACATAGAACTATCCTTTCAAAATAAATTCAGAGGTTAGCTACTAATGGCTGTAACAAATACACTTTGGCAAGCTTATGTCTGGGTTCTAAACTCTCAAAAATAGAATCTTCCTGATACAGGAATAAACCTGAAACATTCCATGACAACAAAAACTTTCTTCACCTGTCTGTAAAAGCTTTCCATGTCTGTATCATAAACATTCAGGGAAAGAAAATAACTAGTTAAAACACTATTTTTGAGGCAAGGTCTCACTCTGTCACTGTGGCTGGAATGCAGTAGTGCAATCATGGCTTACTACAGCCTCATCCTCCCAGGCCCAGGAGACACTCCAACCTCAGCTTCCCAGGAAGCTCTGACCACAGACATGTGCTACCACACCTGGGTAATTTTCTAAATAAAATACAAAAATATTAATGGCCAAAGAAACAATGAGATATATTCAGGCCAAGATGTGAATATAGACCTCTTTGGTCCTCCAACAATAGTCTTATACTGACAGAGGTAGGTAGTTCAACAAAGTAAACAAAATGGTAGAACCAAACCATGCCCTTCAGAATGGACATGCCATCACTACAGTTTAAACTTGTATCCATTAACGTCGCTGGATTGCAGAATTACAAAATTCATCACTTAGTAATAAGAAAGCTTTCAGAAAGAACTCAAATCAAGGTTGTTGCAGGCATTACTCAGATGGCCTCATTTCATGAATAGAATTCATAGTGCTCACCCAAATTGCTTTTTATTTTTTCTCTTTGCCATGGAGCTTAATCAAAAAAGGAAGTTATTTATTTATTTATTTATTTATTTCAGAGACAGGATCTCACTCTGTTGCCCAGGCTGCAGTTCAGTGGCACAATCATAGATCAATGTAGCCTTAAACTCCTGGGCTCAAGTGTTCCTTCCCACTTAAACTCCTGGGCTCAAGAGATGCTTCCCAGCGGCTGGGTGGCATGAGCCACTGTGCCTGACCCTTACTAACACTCTTACCACTCACAATAAGTTATTTTTAATAGAATTTACTATCGAATAATAATTGTTTTTAAATGTTTTAGAAAATTGTTGTACAGATACTTTCTAATTCTAGAATGTTTGCAAATCCAAGCTTAAAGCTGGTAGATGTAATAAAACAAGCACAGAAAAAAATCACCTTTGTGGATGAATTTTTCCATGTATTTTAAGCCACGCTTTCTTTTTGAAGTGAGATGGTTGATAAAAATGTATTTTTTACAGCCTTGACAATGTGAAATAGTTTCCATTTAAGTTTGAAAGCAATTGTACTATGAAATCCTAAATTTTTAAGCAAATTATCCTGGTAATATTGAATGGTAATATTTCTTGCTAAAATAATTTTAATCTTCTATGTATTATAAAGATAAAAATTGAATATAGTCACTGAACAACTTTATAAGAGAATGAATACAGAGCAGATAAGGTATACATTCATATATGACTCTGAAACTGTTTGAAACTGTCTCAACTATTTGGGATTTAAAAAAAAAAAAAGGATACACATTTTGAAAATTTCTAGACCCCTCTAAGTGCTCCTTTAAAACAAACAAAAAAAATTATTTCTTTTTATTCACTTTTTTGTTCATTTGCTTATTTATTTGACCATTTATTCAATGTTTGTTTTCTTCAAGGTACTTTTAGGTGCTATTGCTTTATTATTTTATCTACATGGACTTTTGTCTTAAACATATGATCTTTAACAATAACCTGTATTTGCCTGGAAAAATGAAAAAGTAGTATTCCTCTCTGTATTAGTCCTTTCTCACGCTGCTAATAATGATGTACCTGAGACTGGGTAACTTACAGAGGAAAGAGGTTTAATGGGCTCACAGTTCCAAATGGCTTGGGGGCCTCACAATCATGGCAGAAGGTGAAAGAGAAGCAAAGGCACGTCTTACATGGTGGCAGGCAAGAGAGTTTGTACAGGGGAACTCCCATTTATAAAACCATCATATCTCATGAAACTTATTTACTACCACAAGAATAGTATGGGGGAAACTGCTCCCATGATTCAATTATCTCCACCTGGCCCTGTCCTTGACACAGGGGAATTATTATAACTCAAGGTGAGATTTAGGTAGGAACACAGCCAAACCATATCACTCTCCAAAGGAGTCAAGCAAATAATCTAGAGAAAACCATGGTAGTTCACCATAGTCATTGGTAACTGTGTGAGATTATATGATTGGCTCACATTTCTTCCTTCCCTCCCCACAATCCTTGCCAAGGTTCATCATGGGCAGAATAAAAATCCCACTTCATGGACTTTGCCTCAGCTGTGTGACTTGATTTGACCAATGGAATGTTAGCCAATATGATATAAGGAGAGGCTTTGGTGTTTCATGTTGTCTTACTTGCCATTATACAATTCTGCCATCTTCTGATGAGCGCATGCCCTAAGGAGCCATGCAGTAAACCTGACCTGAAACTTGCAGCCATGTCTACCTGAATCTAGAAAACCTTCACAGGTCCATCAAGTTGAGAGAGACAGAGTGAGGACAGAGACAGAAGAGAGAGAGAGAGAGAGAAGAAAGAGAGAGAAGAAAGAGAGAGGAGAAAGAGAGAGGAGAAAGAGAGAGAGAGAGGAGAGAGAGAGAGAGAGAATTTGTTTTGCTGTTATTGTAAGCCACAGAGTTTTGAGAGTTAAGTATTCTATAGCAGAATTGCAGCAATAGCTGACTAATAGTGCCTGAGAGCAAAGCCCTCCACATTCTGGGCCACGAGCTCACCTTAAAGTGTAGATCACTAGTTTAGAAGTTCAGTCTATGAATAGTGTTTCTAACAGTTTTGTATATTACCTCATTGTTAAATATAAAAGGATAACTAAGGGTCACCAATCATTAAACGAAACTGTAAACATGAACATAGAGGATAAGGTAAACAAAGGGAAGGAGATTGAGATACCAGAAGAAACAATTCAGGAAGGAGAAATTAACTTAAAACGAATTTGAATTACTATCCTGAGATATACTTTAAAAGAAAATGTAACAGAAATCAAGAATAAGATGCTATGAAAAATGACAGTCTTTGTGTTACAACATACACATGAATACAAAATATTTAAGTAAATAAAAAAAACAGTAGAATAGTTTGGAACATAAACGAATCTTCCACAATGTAGAGAGAAGGATAGAAATGAGAAATATGAAATAAAAGTAAGAAACAGGGAGTGAATCCTGACGGACAGGAGTAAAAGAAAGGGAGAAATGGAAAATGGAAGGGAAGAAATTTTCAAAAAAATAATAAAGATAATTTCCCAGAGCAGAAATACTGAGTTGTCAAAATGAAAGATCCTTTTAAATACCCCACATAATGA